CGGCGAAATGCGAAATATTTCGCCTGTTTCTTTTGAATTGCGACTACTCGAATAAATTATTTCTACTTGATTGCTCACAATTCAAAAGAAACAGGCGAAATATTTCGCATTTCGCCGAGAAAAAGCGCTCGTGGAATCAGGCCTTAAGGTACTGTCTCGAATTAAACTGCGTTGTGCTGTTTCACAAGGCTTGGCTCAGCATGTTCTGCAGCACGAGAGTTTCCGCTCTATTTACTCACGAGGATGAATGAAAATTCCCGCTTTTCAGCCTTTTGTTATCAGCACTTAAAATCACTGTGCCAGTTCATAAGCCGGCAAAGAAAGCAAAGTAAAACTTGGTTAATTTAATCATATATGTTCGTACGATATATGACTTGCCGTATTTTGTGCCGTGTCCAACTATAGTTAATATGAACCTAATCAAAATTTGCCTTCTTATATATAGCCTTTTATAGTCCTGCTTCGCTATATGTACATATTAAACTTCGAGTCTTCGATTCAGGCAGCTTTTCAATTCTTCTTTTTACATGATCTTGAGAATTATAAACCTTTTTTTACTCGTGTTAAAATGTTGAAAAGGCACTGGGAAAACCAGCCATGAAGAATCAGTGATTCAGTATCGCTAGAGATACAAGGTGCATGCGTATATTGTGGGAAAAATATGCCTTAATATTAAATGGTGTAGTATTTTCCAGACTAATTTGCTCACGTTTCGGAAATATTTAAAAATTTCAATTATAATACAAGGGAAGTAATATCAGACCTGTTAATTTAAAGGAATATAAGTCACGCGCAGTTCTATATAGCATTTTAATGAAACATTATGAATGTGACTTGACCTATAACCATGAGTAATACTTTTCATTCTATCTATAGTAAAGATAACTATATCATCAAATATACATAACGCGATGAAGAGGGCTGGCTCAAAAAGACCAAAGTCAGGCGTTGTCAAGATTGGTAGAGGTATTGAACAAATTTAATTAACTTCTAGTTAGTGGCTATTAAACAAATCCCATTTATGGCAAGTATCCCTGCCAACAGTTCACTCTCTTTTGTCTATATAACAATCGCTTTCTAAGTTCAATAGATTGGATGTGTTTGCATTCATTTTCAATCTATGTTAACGGAGTATATTTCTACGGAGGCAGATTAAAAGGACTTCTCTTATTGTCTTGTGGACTTGTCTTATTGAAAATGTTATATTCATTTGGAATATCAAGTCCTTTAAGTTAAAAGGGCATCGGGTTTAACTTGTCCTGGGTTACTTTCATACCGGGTGATATTTTGACTTTAG